CTCGCGCCTCCGCCCAGGCCCCGGCCCCGAGCTGTGCCAGGGCTTCCACGCGCGCCGAGCCGCCTCCCACGGCGGACGCTGCACTCAGCCAGGGTTTCCCCAAGACTTTCTTCCCCAGAAATTCCCTCAAAGGGTCCGCAGCCTGCACAGGGCAGTGAAATTGCCCCGCTGGCATCTCCTGGTCTCAGCCTCTCCAAGGGACCCATGCCCGGCTGCCCTGTGGACACGAGGAGACGCGCCTCGCCCCTCTGTGCCTCACGCCACCCACGCTCTTCTGGTTCAACAGAGACCTGTTTAAAATATATATATTTTTTATTGATTTCAGAGAGGGAGAGAAACATCAATGATGAGAATCATTGATTGGTTGCCTTCTGCACGCCCCACACTGGGGATGGAGCCCGGAAGCGGGCATGCGCCCTGACCAGAATGGAACCCGGGACCTTCAAGTCCACAGGCCCAAGCTCTATCCACTGAGCCAAACTGGCTAGGGCTTCAGCAGAGATCTTGATTTAGTTTGGAAAATCACTCGAAAAGCGTTTCAAAACCCACCACTGCCCAGTCATTCAGGCGAATCGTGATCACACACACTGACACGGTTTTCTCTTACATTTCAATTAGGTCAAGAGCAAGTTCAGAATTATCATCTAAACTTGATTCCTCTCCTGTAAAATAGGACGGGACTAGAATACACCTAAATCCCTTATCTCATGGCGCCTCTGTATTTGGATGAGTTTGGTGAGGGGAGTGTGCTTGATTATCATCTCTTCCCATCTAAACGCTGGAATTACTTTTTAGAAGGAATACTTTGTACAACCAAGGGCTTAACTTTTCATAGCCTGAAACTCCTTCCCTCGCCACTGCCTGTCTGTTACAACTTAGCAGAATCTGTGATAACAGTGCTTAGAGGTAAATATATAGGGTGTCCCCCAAAAATGTACTGGTATACACACTTTGAATAATTAATTGCAGGAGGCCGCCCATTGTCTTCACTAGCAGAGAAGTGCAAACAAGGATCCTGGAACGCTGGTGAACCTTGAACCCATGGCAAGGGCCTGAGTTATGCACCAATTGTCTAGTTCTGACAATGGGAGCTCAAGCTATTTCCTGATCAAATAGTCTCAGAGTAAATCCTTCTAGTATTTACTGACCTTTATGATAGCCTGTCTGCTACTGCTATCACCTGCCTGACTAAGGGCTTTATGTTTAACCAAAGCTGAATAAAAGGCTGGCGAGGCCTGGGCACCAGTGGAGGTCCTTCCCCTTGAGTTGGACTTGCCCGCCTGGCCCCCCAATATTCCCAAATTATCTCGTCACATCTCTTTCATTTGTGTGCGGCTCCTCTTCCAGATCCTGAACCCTGAACCACGCGGGACATGGGGGAACACAATTAATTCCAATGTTTCTTTCTTTGAAAATTCCAATAGAATGACATAAATACCATGGAAAAAAACAGGCACCAAAAAAGGTGCACAGGGGGCATTATTTGTTTCTTAAAATTGCTTCTTTTCCTTCAAAAATGTTCTGAAATCAAAATTTTAAGTTGGCAATATATACTACCCTGAAAAGTATGCTGTCTTAGTGCGTTGATTTCCTTTCTCACACACATACATATAAATAACGTATTGATGAGAACATCGCTTTGTGTCTGTGCTGACAGCATGAAGTTCTAAAGAATATTTTAGGCTTCTATCAAAAGGTTAATTTTTAAAAATGTTTGTGCAAAAAATACTATTTTGAAAAAATGTACACTAGTTTTGGTGTGCTATTTACTGTATCATACTAAAAATGTTAATACTAAAAAAGAACGCTTCTTGACAACTGGAAGACTATACTGAGAGACATCATAAAGATGGCCAGAAATTCTTCTTCCTTGAGAACCAGACTGGAGACCTATTTTATGAACCACCTGAACAAAACCTTCAAGAATCATCTTTCTTTTTTTTTCTTCTTCTTCTTCTTTTTTTTTTTTTTTTTTTGTTAGAACAACTCAGCAAAATAAAATGTTTATTGTTGGGCAACATTGTTTCACACACTCATCAAACAGGCCAAAAATAAATAAATAAACAGCAAATTCATAGACAAAATAAAAGGGAAAAAAGAAACCTTTTTATCTTTGGCCTTTTTTAACCACCTTATACAAACCAACTATTTATAGTACAGATAAGCACATACACAAAGTTACTAGAATGTTCAGAATAAGATTGTTTTTGCTTTTTTTACAAGGTTTATTTCTCCTTTGAGATTATAATGAACATGGTCACACCACAAGTCAAGTCAGAAGTAGGACAGCGAATGCTCCAAAGGCTGGTGTGGTCATCCCAAAATCATTAAAAATGGCTGACCCCTAACAATATATACAAAAACATAAAATGTAAATAAAAATACAAATTTTTCTTTTTAAAGTACTTTTAAGAAAAAAGGCAGAGCAGGGCCTTGGAAGTTTTGGTTCTTTTTTCCTCCCCTGTTGCAAATTCACGTTGTGGTTTTGGTTGGGTGGTGGAGAGTACGTGTCATCTGCAGGTGGCGCTGCCCGAGGTGGGTGGGCAGGTGGCGGGGGCGGGGGCTCTACTCGAAGGTGACCACGTTTAGATTCTGAGAGGGGAAGTGGAAGGTGAATAGGTCACAGAGGCCTTTAACTTTTCCTTTTTTTGTTGTTAGTCATCCTCATCGGTCTTCTGCTTCTTGGTGTCAACATCGTCATCCTCCTCATCTTCAGCTGCCCGTTTGCCTGTAGCTGCCTCAGCCTCCTCACCTTCATCTCCATCCCCTTCTCACCATCACCTTCTTCTTCCTCCTCCTCTGCCCCCCTCCTCCTTCCTCTTCATCTACCTCATTGTCAGCCTCCTGCTCCCCATTTTCCTCATCCTCAGCCTTCGCATTCGCAGGTGCATCGCTTCCATTCTCTGCCTCCTCCACAACTTCCTTCTTCTCCTTTAAGTCCTTGATGGTGATCTAGCTGGTGTCCACGGCCGTGTCTGACATGCTGGTGTGGTCATCCCAAAATCATTAAAAATGGCTGACCCCTAACAATATATACAAAAACATAAAATGTAAATAAAAATACAAATTTTTCTTTTTAAAGTACTTTTAAGAAAAAAGGCAGGGCCTTGGAAGTTTTGGTTCTTTTCTCCTCCCCGGTTGCAAATTCACGTTGTGGTTTTGGTCGGATGGTGGACAGTGCGTGTCATCTGCAGGTGGCGCTGCCCCAGGTGGGTGGGTGGGGGGACAGGCGGGGGCGGGAGTCTCTACTCGAAGGTGACCACGTTTATGGTGATCTCCGAGCTGGTGTCCATGGGCGTGTCTGACATGGTGGGGATTTTTTTTTTTTTTTTAAAGCGAGAGTTGGAGGACTCTGGCGAAGAAGCTGCCGTGAAGGAGGCGCGCAGCGGAGGTGGTTGCAGCGAGCGAACCATTTCTGTTACAGAATTTACCAGGCGGCCAGAAAATACAAAGGAGTACCCAGAGGTACAGGAGAAACCCATTTATTTTCAGATGTTTTGCATGAACTAGTACAGTGACTCGGGAAGACTGTTTCTCTCTAAATCCTGAGCAAACCAATATGGAGGACGCTCTCCCTTTATAGCCTCTGGTTTCTTTGTCCCCCAAATATGGATGGGACTTCTGGACCTTTCACAGGCTTTGCAAAAAGCCCCGAGTGTTGGGATGGGGGCAGCGAGACGAGACCACACCTAAAGGCCGGGCCTGGTGCCAGTGCTGATAACCCCCTCGGGGGGTTGTGTATGGTTCATGGTTTGTGGCCTCTGTAAAATGGGAGCACTTAGGTAAACAGGTCTTGTAAGAGCAGATTGTGGAGAAAGGGCAGTGACTTCATTATAGGCTATCAAGAATGTGCATTAGGTTACTGGCAGAGAGTCAGATTGCTGGCCCCCCCAAAATGTCTTATTTTCCCCGTCGTTTGGTGGAGCAGAGAGGGAGCCACAGGAACATGCAAAGATGGCTTTTCAGAGCAGCCAGTGGGCTAGAATCATCTTTCAAACAGAAGGCCCACAGGGAGAGTTCAGAGCTAATGTTATGAAGCTGAAGCTGTATTGCCTTGGGCTCCCATATACTGTGGAGATCAACAACACAAAAGTTGACAGTAAACCATCAGCTGTTGAAAAGTGAGGAATGAATACTGCTTGGGATCACACTTCAAAACTGACTTTGCCAGCTCCCAGACCCTCTCTATCTCCTACTAGCAGGAGAGCCTTGTTTTAAGCCAAGTTATAGAGACAAGTTAAAGATCAGAATTCCCTGCCACTCTCACTATGGGATTATCTCAAGATTTATAATTTTTGAAGTACTACAGTATATTAGATCAAATAAATATAGCACTAGTTATGTGTGCCATAGATAATATATAGATTTTCATTCTCTTGAAGCCTACATGTTGGTGTGCATTTGAGGGGCTAATCCAACTTTTAACGCTCTAAGTAAACCATTTAAAACCAGAAGTGCTTTTCTAAGAGCCTAGAGAAGGCATTCGTATACTAGTAATCCAGAAGCTATATTAAAAAGTATTCATCCCACTCAGTGTCATCTACACTATCCAATAGGTTTTGATATTTTCCCCTTAAATGTGAAAGGCTGATTCTGAAACTCATTGTAATAAAATAATTACTTGTAAGTTGTACATTGCCTGTGAGATTCATTTTCTAAATTTTATTTAGTCTAAAAATAGTAAGAAAAAATGAAAAGTTACACTGAAATATTGTTTGTACAATCAACTCTAATGACGGGTTCACATGAACAAAACTGGAAAAATAGTAAATCTACATAGTTCATATAATAAATAAAATGTAAACACACACTATCTCAATACATAAATAGAAGTTTTACACATCAAAATACAATATATATAAAATATATCTCTAAAATTTAATGAGGTACTATAAATGACCATAATTTTCATTATAAATTACATATATATTTCAATAGAGAAATACATTTGCTCTAACATTTGGAATTTCAGAAATGGCGGTATTGTGGAGAGTAACTTTATAACCAAGCCTTTGTGTAATGCATCGCTATTAGTAATTCCCTGGAAGGGTATGCTGTAATAATATGAACAATTTCTTAATTATGGCAAAAGTACTCTTAAGGAATATAAGTTATAGTGTTTTATTTCTGTATAAGCAGTTAATACTGAAAATGAATGGGAAGATAACATATTTTCAATATCCTTAAGCACCAACTTTGTAGAATGGTGTGACCAAATTGAGGGGTTTCAATAAAGGCAACTTACTAGATTACCATTCCATTTCATTATTTATAAAAATCACTTTAGATGCACTCTTCCAAGGCAAACTATATTTTAATGTGCCTCAAAACTTAATGATTATACTGCTTCTCAGTATTTCAGAGCCTGGATGACAAATAAACCTCCACTTTAGACACTTTAAAATATGGTCTTTGTACATATAAAATTGGACAAACTAATAACTTAGGGGTAACAGAAAGCAACTGAATGCATTTATTCCCCTACTCAAATAAAGGTTTGAGGAAAACTTATGACAAGAAAAAAGGGAAAGTACAACGATGCTTAAGAATTCTTTACTAGATAAGTGCTAAAAGGGTGGGGGTTCCACATTTAACACCATACCAGTGTTTGTCTACTTTATAATTTTGGCCAGCTATATTAGTAATTTAATAAGATGTTATTTAAATAACTGAATTATTTAATGAAAAGATTTAGGTAATTTTATAGTGACTTGAGAGAATCTATTCTATCTAAAAGTTGATATATAGTGTTTTTATGTATCATTATATTGAGAGATTTCTAAAGTCCTTGGGTAATTTCTTATTCTCCTCAAATTTGTATACTCTTTCCAGCAATGAGTACACAGTGAGTTAAAATTGCCTACAATTGTAATTACTTTCAGGAGGCTCATTTTTTTTTCTGTAGATTATAAGGAAATTATTTTAGAAATATAAATTAATCTGCCTTTAACATCTCATTCCCATATATCCCATTCCATGTAATCACTTTACCATAACATTTTTGCTTCAATTTTATCTTCTAAATAAAGCCTCCAATTTGGGGAGTAAATATACCGTCTGATTAAAATGTTAAACATATTAAACATATAAAGTATATAACAACTTAATTGTTACTGATCCACTGATACTTATTTTCTGTTTCTTCTTTTTGGGCTCTTTGTTCTTCTCGGTGGTTAGCTGCAGTCCAAAATGTGATTTTTTTGAGTACTTGTTGAAGAAGTTTAGGAGGTAATAAAGATATTTGACTTTCTAAAATTACAGCATTTTTACCAATGCAGTCAAGGCATAACCTGCAAACAAAACATAATGGAATTAGTCATTTTTTAAGTTATAATATAAAAAATATATAGGTAAGCTTCTTAAAAATAAGTCATTTAAAATCTCTATATAGAAAAGCATAATATGCAAATTGACCAGATGGCAGAATGACCACTCGCTATGATGCACAATGACTAGCAGGGGGCAGGTGCTCAATGCAGGAACTGCCCCCAGCCCACAGGCCCTGATAGCCTGTTGTGAAGGGGAGAGGGGCAAAGGGGGGGGGCCTGCCGGCCAACCTCTTGGTCCCTCCCCCCGGCTAACAGGCTCCAATTGCCCAATGGGGAATGGGGAACTGGGAGTGGATGGCGGCGCGTGCAGGTGGCACCAGGCCAAGGTGGGTGTGAGTGAGCAGGGCCCCGATTGCCCCGCTAGTCGCCCTATACACAGAGGCAACTGGCTCAGTGGCGGGGGAGTGGGGCCAGCTGCTGGCAGCTGGGGACGATCGGCCCTGATTGCAGGCTAGGCCTAGGAACTCTACCCCTGCACGAATTTTGTGCACCGGGCCTCTAGTTTTTTTACATAATAATGTATTTCCTTTGTATTGTTTGGAACATGATAGGACGTATATTCTTTGTAGAGTACCACAATAATTGGACATTTTTACAGCGTAGACACTGTTCTGACCAAATCCAATGGGAACAGAAAGGACAACTTACCATGCATGATGTTCTTTAAGTAAAAAAAGGTCCAGACTTAATTTCAAAGCAGGTTAGCCTCTAGCGGAGCCTTGTCACTTGCCCTTATAGCCCGATACCCATTACTCTTCTCTGAGGACTTTTTCTTCCATCTCCTAGGCCAGTGATGGCGAACCTATGACACGCGTGTCAGAGGTGACAACACTTCTTGGAGTTTGATAAATATTTATTCCTAGTTTATTGTCTAGACTCTAGACCAGTAATGGCGAACCTGTGACATGCGTGTCAGAGGTGACACGCGAACTAATTTTTTTGGTTGATTTTTCTTTGTTAAATGGCATTTAATTATATAAAATAAATATCAAAAATATCTTGGTTTTACTATGGTTGCAAATATCAAAAAATTTCTATATGTGACACGGCACCAGAGTTAAGTTAGGGTTTTTCAAAATGCTGACACACCGAGCTCAAAAGGTTCACCATCACCGGCCTAGATGAAGCATCTGACATCCATTTTTACATGGTGTGACCGGGTCCTCCTCAGACTCCCTCTATCAGTGTCTGACTTAAGTTGACCCAGAGAGAGCAGATCTGAAGAGAGGAATGAAGCGATGCCACAGAAAGAGCCAAGAGACTACCGGAGAGAGGTTCTCCCCATCTGGGGGCGGAGTGTTCATGTTTCCCCTTTCATTCCACTAGAGGGCAGTATCCTTTCAAATACAATTCCATTTCCAGGGGTGGGCAAACTTTTTGACTCGAGGGCCACAATGGGCTCTTAAACTGGACCGGAGGGCCGGAACAAAAGCATGGATGGAGTGTTTGTGTGAACTAATATAAATTCAAAGTAAACATCATTACATAAAAGGGTACGGTCTCTTTTTTTTTAAAGTTTTATTCATTTCAAACAGGCCGTAGTTTGCCCTCGGCTGCTCTATACCCTGAAGAGGGTTTTGTACTTTAAAACCAAAAGAAACCTGATTAAGATAAGAACCATCAAAAATGCATCTATTTCAACTGGTAAACTTTAATTTTAAAAGGTAAATATTTTATAAAAGTTTTAAAAATAGACTCAATGGATTCTGCTGTGGTTAATCTGTTGTCATTTCTATAAGGATTTACACTGCACAGATTTATATCTTCTTCCAAACTCTCATGAAGCCTTTTCTCTAGACTTTGTGAAAATTCTCAATAAAAAGTAAGAGTGAAATGAGGAATAACACTTATTACGGAGGAAGCATGTCCTACTCCTGTTTGTTTTTCCCAGTTAGTGCCAGATGCCTTCAGACTTGGAATTTAAAATAAAATGAGTGCACTTGCTGCCTGTGGACAACTAGCTGTGGTGAACATGCTTC